GAGTACACGAAATACGGAAATGTGTTTATCAGAATTTTAACTGCATTGTTTCGAGGTTAGAAAAACGTTGAAGCAATATTTTCACAAAAAAATACATTACAAGAGATAGAAGTTTTGGATTTGTTTGACAAAGACAAAAGAATTATGACTGGTAATCAGACTTTTAACTGACCAAATTCCCAGAATTGTTTCGAGGTTAGAAAGAAAAAGCAATATTTTCTAAGAAATACATTACAAGAGATAGAAGTTTTAGATTTGTTTGACAAAGACAAAAGATAGAATGACTTTGGGTTTGATTCTTTCCAACGGATCGCCTTCATTTAATAAAGAAGAAACATGCCAATGTCGTTTGAAAAAAGGTGCAAGGATATAAGTCGATCTGTCTATAAAACTAATACACCAGACAACTTTAAACGAGAGCGCCAGGACTCGAACCTGGAATCTTCTGATCCGTAGTCAGACGCGTTATGCATTGCGCCACGCGCCCGTCTACCAAATGGAAAAAAGCTATTCCGAAGAAACAGTTTGAGTGTACAAATAAAATGATCTTGAGAACCTAGTACACGAAATACGGAAAAGAGTTAATTAGACTCTTAACTGACCAAACTCCCATATCTAATGACAGTTTGCATTTCAAAAAATCTACCGAACGCCCAACGTGGGGCTCGAACCCACGACCGTTGGATTAAGAGTCCAACGCTCTACCGACTGAGCTAGCCGGGCGACGGGTCTGATTTCTTACAACGGATCATTTGATCACGGTTTGATTCATTTCAACGGATTGCCTTCATTCAATGAGAGACAAACTTGTCAAAGTGGGTTGAAAAAAGGTGCTACAAGAATTAAAGTGGTTCTGACTAAAATGAATATACCAGACAATTTTAAACAAGCGCGCCAGGACTCGAGCATGGAATCTTCTTATCCGAAGTCAGCCGCGTTATCCACTGCGACACGCGCCCGTCTATTAAACGAAAAAGCTATTATGAAGAAACAGTTCGAGTGTACAAATAAAAGGATCCTTAAAACCGAGTACACGAAATATGGAAAAGAGTTAATTAGACTTTTAACTGACCAAACTCCCATATCTAATCATAGTTTGCATTTCAAAATATCTACCGAACGCCCAACGTGGGGCTCGAACCCACGGCCGTAGGATTAAGAGCGGATTGCCTCCATTCAATGAGGGAGAAACTTGTCAAAGTGGGTTGAAAAAAGGTGCTACAAGAATTAAAGTCGTTCTGACTAAAATGAATATACCAGACAATTTTAAACAAGCGCGCCAGGACTCGAGCGTGGAATCTTCTTATCCGAATTTAGCCGCGTTATCCACTGCGCCACGCGCCCGTCAACCAAACGTAAAAGCTATTATGAAGAAACAGTTCGAGTGTACAAATGATTTGTTTGACAAAGACAAAAGATAGAAGATCGTAGTTTTGTTGACAAATAAAACATAAGTCTTTGAGAACTTATAAAACAATTTGTAAAATATCTGCGAGCACGCCAGGATTCAAACCTGGAATCTTCTGATCCGTAGTCAGACGCGTTATCCATTGCGCCACGCGCCCGTGTTCATATTTAGGGAATGAGGGAGAAACTTGCCGAGGTCGGCTGGAAAAAGGTGCTGCAAGAATTTAAGTCGATCTGACTCAACACGGAACACGAACACACGAGTACACGAAATACGGAAATGTGTTAATCAAACTTTTAACTGACCAAATTCCCAGCATTGTTACGAAGTTAGAAAAATGATAAACCAAAATTTTCACAAAAAATGCAATAGAAGAAATAGAAGTTTTAGAATTGTTTGACAAAGACACCACGCGCCCGTTTACCAAATGGAAAAAAGCTATTCCAAAGAAAAAGTTTGAGTGTACAAATAGAATGATCTTGAGAACCTACTACACGAATGACCGAAATGTGTTAATGCAGACTTTTAACTGACCAAATTCCCAGCATTGTTTCGAGGTTAGAAAAACGATAAAGCAATATTTTCACAAAAAATATATTACGAGAGATAGAAGTTTTAGATTTGTTTGACAAAGAAAAAAGATAGAATGACTTTGAGGGTTGAATTAATTGTCCTACAATATACCGACAGAGCTAGTCGGGCAACGGGTTTGATTCTTTGCAACGGATCGCCTTCATTTAATAAAGAAGAAACATGTCAATGTCGAATTTAAAGTTTCAGCAAACTGCAATTTTGTGGTGAAAAATATTTGCTACTCTGGTGTGGTACATCTTCAACAGAATGTGAACTACACCGAAGCCCTGGAGATTTTTAAGAAACAAAACCAAATAGTTGGTTTGATTCGAGACGAAGAATCGTACAATGAAATTATGAGCTTTTTGGGGCAAATACCTGAAAGGCACATTTGGACAGGCATGTGGACAGGAGTTCGCTTCGATCCATTAGTAAGTGTAAACATTGTTGCCATTTCTCTTTGGTGAAATTTTGAAACCTGGGCACCTGTATATGATGACTAAGTGTGTACGTGTGTCCTTTTTAATTTTTAGACTGGCGTTTTCACACCTGCGGATTCGTTTAAAAATTGGTTTAAAGATTATCCGACAATAGGAAAAATAAATGAAAACCGGACAAATGTTCGAATTGTCACTTATCCAAAACTTGGTGGATTACCTGAAGGATTGGTGAACGAGGAATGTTCAGTGGACACCCACGGAGTTCTTTGTGAAATCCAGATCTAGTTTCTGAAACTTTGATCTGCAATTTTCTTTTCAGACTTTTCAGACAGACTTTTCTTGTAAAATAATTTTTTTTTACTTTCGTTGAAAAATTTGGAATTTCATATTTATCCGGATCAAAATTTCGTCCGATCATAGAGAGTTAGAAAAAAAAAACTTTGCATACAACGCCGATTCCAAAGCTCCACGGATCCTCCGGGGCCTTATTTATACATGTATATTGTTTGCTACCTGCAAATTGGGCATTTCTGCGTGAATGATACTGAGTAAAGTTTTTGAATTTGTAGTCATACAAATCAAGTAAATGTTGGAATTAAAACAAGTGGTGTGTTAATTTGTGTATGTTTGACTGATCATTGCAAAATCTTGGATAGTTTTTCATACTGACGTCCTAAGTTTGGTGATAATTAGTACAGGTTAAGGTGATTCATATCTCATGGTCACCAACTCGCCCGGTATGTAATAGGTTGAGTAGGCAATGGCGACGTAAATTAATCAATTTTTTTTTTATTTTGTTTACATTGTATAAAAAATTTAGTCTTTTCATGAGTGATGCTTATTCTACAGAATTCACTCACACAATGCAGTTTTATATGAAACGAGATTTCAATAGAATTTTGAGTCAAGGATTTATATGCTTGATTTAGGAAGAATTTAGGTAATTTCAAGATCGTAATAGAAATCATGTCAAGTTTATTTTTTAACTGTATCAACCTTCTAAGCTCATTCAATCAATCAATTCGTATTATTAGCCATTCGGGAGAAAAACAATAAAATGAAAGCGATACAGATCACGGTATATCTGTATATATTCATGCTTTTTTTCCGGATTGGAAACAGCGGAAACAGCGAATAAAAAAATACCACAACTCAGACCCTTTTATGTAAGAACAGCATCGCCTCAAAATGCAAGGCAATATTTCGACTTATTTAATTTTCAGTGAACAGGATTTGACGAAATGTCCACGTAAAAGTTACAAATAGACAAATGATTACGAGGAAAATTGGGTAGAACCCTGTGAACCACAATTATCTAGCAAAGCCTGATTAGGTTATGTACTTTTATAATTTGACGAAATCAAACGATATTGAGGGCTTTGGGTGCGACGTGGACGCAGGATCAGAATGGCAAGAAATTCAGATTATTGGAATAATCTTGATAAGAGATCTTACGTAATAAATTAGATACCTGAGCATTTTATACACTGGGAAATCATGAGAGTCACACTCTGTATTTCCCGGCGGCCGCCAATGCAATTCATAACAATACTTGAAGTTGTTCAGCTTCCAAGCTAAGATGATATCTGGCGCTTTTCACGTGGAGTGAGCAGTGAAATGCAAAGAATAATTTGCTTACAATGTCTTTTGGTACTATATTTTGGGGATAGTCTTGAAATCCTGAATGATTAATCATTAGTGCAAATTATTATATTCTCCCAGCAATACGAGTAATATACGAACCCGGTGCAGACCACTTTCCTTCATCTACCGAAACAAAAATGTTTGGATGATGTAATCCAAAACAAGGAATGTTAATTAATTAATAAATTATAAAACATGAGCAATCCTACAAACCTCAATATCCTCGATTTTTCACCCACGTAAACACTACCAAATTTCGACATTGATTAACGTCCGAAATTAGATGTGATAGAGTGCTTTCAGCAAATCGTACTTCAACTTTATTTTTGAATTTGATATAAGTTTTGATACGTTTGTAAACTTAATTAGGATAGTATGAACCAAAATAGGGTAATTCACTATTAAACACCAATGAAAGCTACGACCCTCGGTAGTTCCTGTTAATTAACTAGCAGGTTGAAAACAAAACAAACAACAACAAACCAAAACAACATTTTTGTGATTAGGTCAAAATTCCACCTTAGTTCCCGATAGATTACTAGCCGTCAATACTTTCCAATTAGTGGGCTTGTCTCTTAGACAACCTACTGCATTTTCTATCCGATGGCGACTTTTTATTCTAATTTTTTTTCCAAGTCGGGAATTTTTGTTAAAAATAAACCATTTAGGGCTTGTGGGTCTTTTTTATTTTCTTCCACCTTTCCAACTTCTTTGAAAAATAAAGAATGACGAACCAAACAAAAATATATGTAACTTAAACTTTTCGACTCGAAATTAAGTCTGATATCATGAAAAAATGAGACATTAGAAGATAAACGTTGCAAAAAGTAGTTTTGATTTATAATCTATGGGCCTTGCAAAGTATATGCTCATCCAGATATATGCTAACAATAACTTGAACATCTATAAATCCATGGCTTATACATCAACGGCCATAAAGCAAGCGAGAAATATTTACTGATGATCAGTACACATTATCTATATATACATTGCATTAAAATTCAAGGAAAATATTTTTTTCTATTATATCATATCAATTCTTTAATGAAGTGAAGTTGAATGAATTTCTGTCAGATCTGTTGCTGGTTTTATATTTCGCAGATGACACCGTTGTAACCAAACCAATCAGGAACGTTGTAGATTCCCTGAATTGCATGATCTGGATCTTGGTGAACCTGAAATCCGACATTTGCGCGTGACGCATCAGATAACGGATAACTAGGAGGTAGCCAAATTTCTGGTGGCATAGTGACTGTTTTTCCATCGGTCAGCACACGCTGATCATTCTGTAACAATTTAACAGAAATATAAAATTCATATATAAATTAAAACACATTTATAAGTATGATTGGTTAGGCTACGTCAGACCACTTGTGTGTTGGGAACTGAGTGAAAAACTCTGGATTAAAACCGTTATCTAAACGTCTCAATCGTGACGTCACAATATTTTTTCAAATTATTTCCATAAATTAAGTTTTTCGGCTTGCTAAGTATCCAGTCTCTCTAATAAATTATTGGATATTGCACGCCATTCCAGTATGTAATGATTTCATTATAAAAAGGATTTGGGCGAAATCTTCGATTCTAGTAAAATATTAGTCAAACTCCTACGATTACTCAAATTGCGAATTATCAAACTGACTTGATACTCCAACCCGGTCCAGACGTCAATATATCCGTCAATCAGACCAGCAGGGACCACTGAATGTAGACAAGTTTGCAACAACTGGTAATGCGTTTTGTCGTAAATATTCGCAAGCTTTCCGTTGTTCATTGATTTTCAAAGTGTTATAGCGTTTCTGATGCTGACTTTCTTTGTACCATACACAATTACTCGAAAAGATTTAGAATTGTATGTGATGTCACATTTGTCTAAATACAACATTATCGTTGTCACGTCATTTAGTATCATAAAGAAAATGGCTCCATATCAAATTTTTCATTTAGTTCATCTAATAAACTTTTTTCAGAAATACTGTACTGTAATATTACCAGGAGGGTAAAAGCCGATGGCACAAAATATTAGTATGAGACAAAAGTGACAATTTTAAATGTAAGAATAGTCAAAAATTTCAGATGCATGGTTGGTAGACAAAGTCAAAGAAACGTAATCGACTAGGGTTTGGGTTGACTCCCCTGAGACACAGAATGCCTCAATCTTTAAATGTTTTGTTATCCAATCTAGATTCAAACCAACGTGTGATTAACCCTTCAATTTTCAAGATTTCTAACACCTGGGTGAGCGTGACAATTTTTAGATAAAATTAACAAATTTTAAAACATATTTAAATTTATTTTGAGCTGATTTCTTCTCATCAAGATTCTTTTTGATCAGTCTGGCAATTTCTGTGAAGAATAATAAATTTGTTGTTTTGGAAACCAACGAGATTATTTACCATTTCATGTATCAGTATTGTTGAAATTGTAACATTATCTTATCCTATATGGCATATGTCATATATGGCATTCAAATACCGTATAACACTCACAGTAATAAATATATTTGAACGCTGAATATAAAGTAGGGCAAACTCACCAGATCCATCGTTTTTCTGTGAAATAGATACAAAATGCTGCTAATTAGTATTAATTTTGCCATCGAAAATAAGATGCCTAACCATTAAGATTTATATTGAAAACTAGTAAATCGTTGAACATCATTGACTAGTTTTAGAGTCGGATTGTGAAAACACCTATTGAAAAGAAGAACTTTATGTTTACCACGCAATCTCCAATTTGAACCAGCTTCCCATTCACGATCTTGGAAACGCAGCTTCCAGCTACCAAATATAAAACATGATATTTATGAGTTGAAAAAGGCAATATATTGCAATAAAATTTTAAGGTGTTGCTAGAAGAGGGATTGATTGTGATGTCTTTTGAAATCATTCAAAAAATTTTATATAGTCTAGTACAGTGTTCTTCAACCTTTTTTATCGTTGTATACCTTTTAGAATTTGCAAGAACTTTGTATACCTTACAAATAACAATGTTTATTTATTAAGGCCTAAATAAACAATCAATTATAAGAACATATTGTACTGCAATATTATCATGCAATCTAATAGGCTAGTGACCGCAAGTTATAAATTTGACTGACGGCCCTACCGTCAAAGGGAATAATGTTCAACGTAGATCAAACGAAGTGCATGGCAGCCGAAATCACCAACACATCCACGTAACCGCATTATCTATATAATTTGTGATGTAACAATGTGCTCACGTCGACTCTTTGCGTAAATAACATTTTATATTTCAAGTGCGCCGCGTTTGCATTGTTGTCTCCGCTTGAATATTTTATAGTTTATTATATTAGAGTTTATAATCCCTGACTTTGGCTGTACATACTTCGTATACCCTTTATCAGTTGTATTCCCAACTTATGGTCCGGTATACACTTGAGTATACCGTAAACCCGGTTGAAGAGCCCTGGTCTAGCATTTCGGTACCGAATGTAGACACACATTGCTTGTAAACTAATGATGCAAATTTTAACAAGTAATTGTAACTCAAAAAAAATCTTACCAGGTAATTTTTACTCTGCATACAAGCCACAGATGAGAGAGAAAATGAGAATTATTTCGAGTAAGTCCATGTTCGGTTTCGAAAAGATTAGATGACGAAACTAAGGCTTATGAAGTAAATATCTGTTGAAAAAAACGCTAAATCAAGTGAGCTTTTGTGATAAATAATTATCACAACCAAATCGATAATGTATACCATATATTAAAGATATAAAAAACGCCCGTATGACTCATTGTTCAAACAATATTTAGTTATTATACAGTAATTGTGCAGTTGAAAACAGTTTATATACTTGCGTAGTGTTTTGTTTTGCCTCCTGAAATATATAGTAAACATGCTAAAAATAGGATATTAGAATAACAAACTTTGTTAAACCATTAAAATAGTATTTGCAAGCAATTTTTTATGGTTTAAATTATTGTTTCATCTATTACACTTTGCCAAATTTATAACATAGAATGGTGAAAATGGCATTGCGCAAGAACTGGACATTGGTGAACCTTTATAATAGCGCATCTGAGGGCAATTTTGTTTTTAGTTAAATTTTTTGTTGCACCCCTCTAACCTGTGCCATATCTATAATATAGAATAGTGAAAACGATTGTATTACGCAACAAATAAACTTAATTCACTTTTTATGATAATGCATTTGTCGGAATGTTTTTTTGCACTCTTTTTCCTAGTTTACATTTATAAATCTAGAAGCGTGAAATTGACTGAATTACGCAACAATCAAACGTCAGACTTCCTCAGACAAGCAGTTATGTTTTTATAGCTACAGCCTCCTTGCAGCATACGCTTACGGATCCACTAGCATAAAGGCATCGAAAAAATATAGGGAATTAGTCTCGCGCGACCCGACTCAAATTTATATTCAAAATTGTCCGCAAATGCACTATTATAATGGTTAAGGCGATGGACAGCTAATCACTTGTGCTCTGCACGCGTGTGTTCGAATCTCACCCGCGTCGTGGTGCAAAAAGGCCTATCCGATTACTTATTCTCTTTGATTTGAAATCAATATAGTTCCAGTGAAAACACAATAACTGCTACTATCCGTATACTGTATAAGGAATTTATCGATGATTGGAATGAGAATTGAATTAAGTGTTTTGTAAACAATAAACAACAATTATCTAGTTAATCTCGTACTCTGTAACGAATACAAGATTGAGCTATTTAATGTATTCGTTTGAGCTAGGCGCAATTGATTCAATCCGTACCAAGCCATCAATGTGCCTTCGAAAAAAAAAACGGTGTAATAATTCCAAAACTAGGCAGCTTCAATAAAAGTATCTGATAATCGTTTGGGCAAGTTTTATGTAATCTTTGCTCGAAGTTGTAAACCTGCTTAATAAAATCACAAATAACGTTGTCGGCATGGTAAATGCCAAACAGATTTATAGTCTGTCGCCCTAACCACTCGGTCACGACAAACGGTGACCGCAGGCTGAATCAATTGATAATTGAAAAGAAATAGTCGTAGTCGGAGTCAAGTTTATTTTTTTCATCCGGTAAAAATATATTATCATGCAATGTTTAGGCGAATAATATTGAATAAACATTTATATTGGATTTTTATGATCTACTCAAACTCAGCTAAGATTAATTCCACACAAGTTTTTAAATATGGGATTCTCCAAAATTAAAATATAATATTCGAGGAAAAAGTTTAATCATCACAGTACTAGTGTAGGGTATAATGATCGAGTATTTCCTTACAACAAGAGTAAACTTAACATTGATGAATTCTTGCAACGAATTTTTTGTTCGCAATTAGATTGCGAGTTTGTAGCATCTTTAAGAATTTATTCAAATCCTGATCTCATCATTCATTGAACTGACATGGACGACCTGAATTGAAATCTCTAGTTTTTCCGTATTTCGCATTAGTTTTCCCTCTGCTCTGAGTTAAATTGAATTACCAATTGCTCCGCTATAATTTGATTTCCATTCACAGGAGTCCGCACGTAATATGCTCGTTGAATGTTTTTTGCAATATTGCTGAACTGCTGAATTGTTTCTTCACTCTTTTTTAGTCTGACAATCCTTAAGATTCAGCCAATAGTCCACGTCCACGACGTTGAAATCATCTGATCTCGACTAACCTCGAGATCTGATTTATATTGAATTGGTCTCCGTTCGGTAATAACAAGTGTCGTGAGTTCATTTAAATGATTTAAACAGCTAATAACTATTTAAATTTGAGTTGGGTTGCGCGAGACTAACTTCCTATCTTTTCTCTATGCCTTTATGCTAGTGGATCCGTATGCGTATACTGCAAGGATACTGTAGCTGGAATAAACATGACTATTCTATTCAATTAAAGAGTCCAGCTGCACACTAACACAAATGTATTTCTGTAACGTTTCGTCCGACCAGAGTCAGACTTCCTCAGACAAGCAGTTTACAACAATGGCAAGAAATAAATTTGGTAAATGAATTTGAAATATCAAATCAAGTATGACGTAACAATGCATAAACATTTAATTTGCATTTAGCCGTAGAAGTAATGATGGGAAAATTAGAACCACAAATATCAGTGGAGCTCATTTCAGATGTAATTGAAAAAAAAAAAAAAAAGTTTTATTATTGCATTTACGAAAATGATGGGTAACTAAATGTAATTAAAATTGTGGGCACTTAGAGAACTATTTCTGTTTACAATCTTGTTGTTTCGAAATGTATTCATTTTACTATTCTATATTCATAAATATAATAACGGGTAATAGGGTGCAACAAAAATTTAAACGATAAATAATATTGCTAGGAATTGCATCTTTAGCAAAGTTAAACTAAGCTTGGTTGTTACGTGCCGCATGCGCTTTTACTCCTTAAATATATTTTTTAAAATATCGTAAGATGATATCGCCTAACAATGGTAACGAGAAAAATCGCTCGCGAATGCACTATAAAAATAGGTGAAACAAGTTCGGTTGAGGCGAAGTGCGAGCGTTTGTGCTGATCAATTTTTGTATATAAAGCTGAGTAAAATGGCGTGCGGCAAAGGTATATGCCACGTATATATTGGTATTGAATAAAGTTGAACAAGAGAACAGAGGGCAACTTACTATTTTGGTTTCGAAGGTAAATATCCATGCATATTTTTACAGAAATTCAAATATAGTACTCTGTGATATCTGATTCAAATAATAATTTTTAATACCGGTTTGCTATCATCTTTTTCCTACATCCAAGCCATGAATATATCGTTTTCGTTATATTTGTCACAGACAAATGAGCATATAAACTGATTTAACAAGTGTATCTGAATGATAATATTATATTTTTAAGCATGTGTTATACATAGCATAGGGCCGACATTAAACAAACAGTTTACGAGAGTATAAACTGCTTTCAACTACAAAATGATAATTAGCGAATGGAGTGTGGGTGTTGCATCATGTGGGCGTTTTTTTTTAGTATTTTTTGTTTTAGATATAGCACAGACCAAACCACTGTTTGATCACTTGTTGCTGCCAGTCGCCGTAAATGGACTCGCTACATATCAGTTGCCTGTCGACTTTTAAACTTTTAAGTGAGTAGACTTGGAATCTGGGTGAGATTAGTGTCGTGCAGATTAGGCTCCTATTGAATATGATGTGTGTGTGCGACAACGTAAATGTTTCACAGTTTTTACTGCTGAGTGGACACATATATTATTATTTATTTTTACAAAGGTACAAGGTTTTCAGAACAAAAAAAAACTTCTCATAGCGCACAAAATAATCTCCCGAAATATTATCTCGATTTATTCCAGGCAGTTGGAGTTAGTGTGTTTTATACAATAAGAGATTGGTAATCGAATTTTTCATTTCAACGGAATAATCAAGTTTAGCTACTGCGGTATTTTGGCATTTTTATTATTTTGATTTCTAGATGTAGCACGGGGAAATAGCGTTAAGTTAAATGCGAAACAATCGTAGTAAACGCTATTTGCTTTTTAATAACATGAATGTTAAACACAGTGAAAAGAATGGAACAACCAGTATTTGTCACTGCGGGAGAGAATTTGTTCCAAAACTAATCATTTTTAGCTTTTGCAAAGATTACCACTCCCAATTAAAAGTTCGGCCATGGTGTTTGTCTTGTTATTTTTTTATTACGATGCTTATTCACTCCATTCGCTCCGAGCACGGCCCCGTATAATCAGTCAGTGATATCTGATGATATGTTCTCAAATGCAGTATTATAATGGGTGAATCCGACTTGGTCATTGCATAATACCTTTTTGCTGATTTATGTGATAAATATGGCACAGGTTAATAGAGTGCAACGCTAATAATCAAAATTCTATCTAATTAAAGACCCTATATAATAAACTTTGATCACTTTTTATAATAGTGCATTAGTTTAAATTTCCGCTGCACTCATTTGCCCGGTGTTTCATTTATAAATCTAGAATCATGAAAATAACTGAAATGAGCAACAATCAAACGTAGTTTAACCTTTATAATAGTGCATTTGTGGGCAATTTTCATTATGGATTCATTATGGTTTTGTTGCACAACCTGTGCCATTTTTAAAATATAGAATAGTGAAAACAATTGTATTACGTAACGAACAGACCTAATTCACTTTTTATAATAGTTAAATAAATATTTGTCGCGCTGTTTTGCCTGTTGTTACATTTATAAATCTACAATCGTAAAAACAATTCAGGCCGCTTCTCTATGGCAATTTTGCATGGCTATTTTTAGAATAATTTTTTCCGTCAACCATTAAGCCCTAAAGATTCACTAATGGGTTCTTATAAGCGTGTGCTATAGTTCTATTCAGCGATATATCTTTAAAACACACTCCTCTAATAATATTTTTTCTATGCGACAAAATTTAGAAAATTTCCAATAAAAAACCTTGGTCTGGAGAGATTTTGCGTCTAGTAGAGGGTTAATAATTATTTATAATTAATTAATTTTTATTTCACCGTTTTCTTGAAGTTTTTTCCAAGAGAACAATACCAAAACCTCTGTTATAGCCAGAATGGTTACTCTGAAATTCACAATTGTATTTACAGAATTTCCAAGTTCAAGACCCAAATTGGCAATTTTGATGACGTCACAGCCTTAATTATCACTGCACAGAGCCCCCCCAATGCAAAAAATGTCACTATTTTCTACGGAAATGTGCGCAGACAGACGTAAACCATCTAATAAGCTCAGTTACGCGTGAAAATTACCGTTAACTTTACATTTTTGTCACGTTTAAAAAATCTCCATACCTATGCCAAGTATGGTGCAGTCGAAATCATATTTTCCAAAACATCACAGCGCCAGGGATGGTATGTATTACTGAAAATACTTGCTAAACCAATACTAAGTAAGTAATAGGGAGTCAGTGCTATTCATTTCCTGTCTGAGTCATGTCAGCATTTCACACTTCTGACTAGCGATTTTGAAATCGACGGTATTCATACGATTTGCACTCTGCGTCACAGCTGGATGGTTTTTCTTTTCTCTCTTATCGTGGCAACACGAGAATAAATAGCCTAGACCGATATTAACTCGTTTAGTACAAGATTTGGACAGAAAATGATACCTTCTACCGATATGGGTGCCCGAGCTGGAAAAGGGATTAACCACTCGGCCACCTGTGTGCATCAGATATACAGTATACGGATAGTAGCAGTTATTGTGTTTTTACTGTCTCGTGGCATGTAATCAAAGCTTGAATAGTAACCGACGTGAGCTGAGAAAATTGAATTTTTGGCTGCTTCGCCAGATCCCGAGATGTCTAATTGTTGGTGATTACAATCTGATTTGAATTCCGTTCTGTTCACCGTTGTCGAGGCCGAGTGGTTAAGGCGACAGACTCGAAATCTGTTTGGCATTGCCCGCGCAGGTTCGAATCCTGCCGACAACGTTATTTGTGAATTCGTTCAGCAGGATTAAAACATCGAGAAAAGATTAGATAAAACTTGCCCAAACGATTATCAGATATTTTTATTAGAGCTGCCTGGTTTTGGAATTATTATACCGTTTTGTTTTTGAAGGCACATTGATGGCTTTGAACGGATTGAGACCAATTACGCCTAGCTTAAACGAATACATTAAATAGCCCAATCTTGTATTCGTTACAAAGTACGAGATTAACTAGATAATTGTTGTTTATTGTTTACAAAACACTTAATCCATTTCTCATCCCAATCAATGGTCTGCTGTAACGCTCATTCAGAATACTTGACAGCATGCAAACGCTGTATATAGCTGAGATCTCGAATCAATGTCGTGCCCATAACGGGGAATTTCGACTTTTGTCTATAATGCAAGTGGCAGTTTATGGCTGAAACGCAGTCAATCGATAAATCCTTATGACATAGTCTCGCTAAACCAAACAATAAAATTCCTTATACAGTATACGGATGGTAGCAAGTATCGTGTTTTTACCGGAGCTATAATGATTTCAAACTGAAGATTAGAGAATAAGTAATCGGATAGTCGTTCTTGCACCACGACGAGGATGGGATTCGACCCCACGCTTGAAGAGCACGATGGATTAGCAGTCCATCGCCTTAACCACTCGGCCACCCCGTCACGTGTGCACCAGATTAGGTGTTTATGATTTGAATCTGGACCTAATTTCGATTATACCTAAATAATCTCGTGGCATGTAATAAAAGCTTGAATAGTAAACGACGTGTGCAGAGAAATTTGAACTTTTTGGCTGCTTTTTTGAATAGTAACCGACGTGTGCAGAGAAAAGTGAACTATTTGGTTACTTCGCCAGATTTGGATTTGTCTAATTGTTGGTAATTACAATCTGATTTGAATTCAGTCTCCGGACACCGTTGTCGTGGCCGTATGGTTAGAGCGACAGAACCTGAGAAGTCTAATTGTTGGTAATTATAATCTGATTTGAATTTCAATTACTTCAGAGTTTTTGTATAACATATTTCAGCAATGCTAACACGATTTTATTTCTCAAAAATTATCAATTTTGATATGGAGATGCCGGGGATTGAACCCGGGGCCTCACACATGCGAAGCGTGCGCTCTACCACTGAGCTACACCCCCAGGACAACAAGGATGGGATTCGAACCCACGCGTGCAGAGCACAATGGATTAGCAGTCCATCGCCTTAACCACTGGGCCACCCAGTCACGTGTGCACCAGATTAGGTGTTTATGGTTTGAATCTTGACCTAATTTCGATTATACCTAAATCATCTCGTGGCATGTAATCAAAGTTTGAATAGTAACCGACGGTAACAGAGAAAACTGAATTTTTGATTACTTCGCCAATTTCGGATATGTCTAATTGTTGGTAATTACAATCTGATTTGAATTCAGTCTCCGGTCACCGTTGTCGTGGCCGAATGGTTAGAGCGACAGAACCTGAGAAGTCTAATTGTTGGTAATTATAATCTGATTTGAATTTCAATTACTTCAGAGTTTTTGTATAACATATTTCAGCAATGCTAACACGATTTTATTTCTTAAAAATTATCAATTTTGATATGGAGATGCCGGGGATTGAACCCGGGGCCTCACACATGCGAAGCGTGCGCTCTACCACTGAGCTACACCCCCAGGACAACAAGGATGGGATTCCAACCCACGCGTGCAGAGCACAATGGATTAGCAGTCCATCGCCTTAACCACTGGGCCACCCAGTCACGTGTGCACCAGATTAGGTGTTTATGATTTGAATCTGGACCTAATTTTGATTATACCTAAATCATCTCGTGGCATGTAATCAAAGCTTGAATAGTAACCGACTTTTTGGCTGCTTTTTTTGAATAGAACCGACGTGTGCAGAGAAAAGTGAACATTTTGGTTACTTCGCCAGATTCGGATATGTCTAATTGTTGGTAATTACAATCTGATTTGAATTTCAATTATTTCAGAGTTTTTGTATAACATATTTCAGCAATGCTTACACGATTTTATTTCTTTAAAATTATCAATTTTGATATGGAGATGCCGGGGATTGAACCCGGGGCCTCACACATGCGAAGGTGTGCTCTACCACTGAGCTTACTTCCCCAGGACAACAAGGATGGGATTCGAACCCACGCGTGCAGAGCACAATGGTTTAGCAGTCCATCGCCTTAACCACTCGGCCACCTCGTCACATGTGCGCCGGATTAGGTGTTTATGATTTGAATCTGGACCTAATTTCAATTATACCCAAATCATCTCGTGGCATGAAATCAAAGTTTGAATAGTAACCGACGTGAACAGAGAAAATTGAATTTTTGGTTACTTTGCCAGATTCGGATATGTCTAATTGTTGGTAATTACAATCTGATTTGAATTCAGTCTCCGGTCACCGTTGTCGTGGCCGAATGGTTAGAGCGACAGAACCTGAGAAGTCTAATTGTTGGTATTAAATCTGATTTGAATTTCAATTACTTCAGAGTTTTTGTATAACATATTTCAGCCATGCTAACACGATTTTATTTCTTAAAAATTATCAATTTTGATATGGAGATGCCGGGGATTGAACCCGGGGCCTCACACATGCAAAGCGTGCGCTATACCACTGAAATACATCCCCAGGACAACAAGGATGGGATTCGAACCCACGCGTGCAGAGCACAATGGTTTAGTAGTCCATCGCCTTAATCACTCGGCCACCTCGTCACATGTGCACCAGATTAGGAGTTAATGATTTGAATATACACCTAATTTCGATTATACCCAAATCATCTCGTGGCATGTAACCAAAGTTTGAATAGTAACCGACGTGAACAAAGAAAATTGAACTTTTTGGCTGCTTTTTTGAAGAGTAACCGACGTGAGCAGAGAAAAGTGAACTTTTTGCTTACCTCGCCAGATACGGATATGTTTAATTGTTGGTAATTACAATCTGATTTGAATCCAGTCTCCGGTCACCGTTGTCGTGGCCGAATGGTTAAAGCGACAGAACTTGAGAAGTCTAATTGTTGGTATTTACTATCTGATTACGATTATACCCAAATCATCTCGTGGCATGTAATCAAAGTTTGAATAGTATCCGACGTGAACAGAGAAAATTGAATTTTTGGCTGCTTCGCCAGATCCTGAGATGTCTAATTGTTGTTGAATACAATCTGATTTGAATACCGTTTCTGGTCACCGTTGTCGTGGCCGAGTGGTTAAGGCGACAGACTCGAAATCTGTTGGGCATTGCCCGCGCAGGTTCGAATCCTGCCGACAATGTTAGTTGTGATTTCATTTAGCAGCCATACAACATCGACCAAAGATTAGATAAAACCTTCCAAAACGATTATCAGATATTTTTATTGAAGCTGCCTGATTTTGGAATTATTATACCGTTTTGTTTTTAAAGGCACATTGATGGCATGGAACGGATTGAGACCAATTGCGCCTACTTCAAACGAATACATTAAATAGCCCAATCTTGTATTCGTAAAAGAGTACGAGACTAGCTAGATAATTGTTGTTTATTGTTTACAAAACACTTAATCCAATTCTCATTCCAATCAAGGGTCTGCTGTAACCCTCATTCACAATACGTGGCTGAATGCAAACGCTTTATATAGCTGAGATCTCGAAGAAATGTCGTGCCTATAACGGGGAATTTCGACCTTTGTCTATAATGGAAGTGGCAGTTTATGGCTGAAACGCAGTAAATCTTTATGACTTAGGCTCGCTAAACCGAACAATAAAATTCCTTATACAATATACGGGTAGTGGCAATTATAGTATCTTTACTGAAGCTATATTGATTTCAAATCTAAGTGATCGTTGCACCACGACGAGGATGGGATTCGAACCCACGCGTGCAGAGCACAATGGATTAGCAGTCCATCGCCTTAACCACTCGGCCACCCCGTCACATGTGCACCAGATTAGGTGTTGATGATTTAAATCTAGACCTAATTTCGATTGTACCAAAATCATCTCGTGACATGTAATCAAAGTTAAATAGTAACCGACGTGAGCAGAAACAAGTGAATTTTTTGGTTACTTCGCCATTTCCTGAGATGTCTAGTTGTTGATAATTACAATCTGATTTGAATTTAAAATACTTCAGAGTTTTCTCCTGACATATTTCAGCAATGCTGACGCGATTTTATTTCGTAAAAATAATCTACTTTGATATAGAGATGACGGGGATTGTACTCGGGGCCTCAGACATGCGAAGCGTGCGCTCTATCACTGAGCTACATCCCCAGGGCGACAAGGATGGAATTCGAACCCACGCGTGCAGAGCACAATGGATTAGCAGTCCATCGCCTTAACCACTCGGCCACCTCGTCAGATGTGCACCAGATTAGGTGTTGATGATTTGAATCTTGACCTACTTACGATTATACCGAAATCATCTGGTGGAATGTAATCAAAGTTTGAATATTAACCGACGTGAGCAGAGAAAATTGAACTTTTTTGCTGCTTCGCCAGATCCTGAGATGTCTAATTGTTGGTGATTTCAATTTGATTTGAATTTAGTCTCCGGTCACCGTTGTCGTGGCCGAGTGGTTAGGGCGACAGACTCGAAATCTGTTGGGCGTTGCCCGCGCATGTTCGAATTCTGCCGACAACGTTATTTGAGATTTCATTTAGCAGGACTACAACATTGAGCAAAGATTAGATAAAACTTGCCCAAACGATTATCAGATATTTTTATTGAAGCTGCCTGATTTTGGAAATATCATACCGTTTTGTTTTTGAAGAATTATTGATGGCTTGGGACGGATTGATACCTATTGCGCCTAGCTCAAACGAATACATTAAATAGCCCAATCTTGTATTCGTTACTGATTACGAGATTAGCTAGATAATTGTTGTTTATTGTTTACAAAACACTTAATCCATTTCTCATCCCAATCAATGGTCTGCTGTAACGCTCATTCACAATACGTGGCAGCATGCGAACGCTTTATATAGCTGAGATCTCGAATCATTGTCTTGCCTATAACGGTGAATATCGACCTTTGTCTATAATGTAAGTGGCAGTTTATGACTGAAACGCAGTCAATCGATAAATCCTTATGACTTAGCCTCGCTAAACGAAAGAATAAAATTTCTTATACACTATACGGATAGTAGCAATTACTGTGTTTTTACTGAGCTATAATGATTTCAAATCAAAGATAAGAGAATAAGTTATCGAATAGGCATTCTAGCACCACGACGAGGATGTGATTCGAACCCACGTGTGCAGAGCACAATGAATTAGCGAACTTTTATCTGATTAGTGAACTTTTTGGTTCCTTCGTCAGATCCTAAAATGTCTAATTGTTGGTAATTACAATCTGATTTGAATTTCAATTACTTCAGAGTTTTCTCTCGACATATTTCAGCAATGCTAACACGATTTTATTTCGAAAAAATTATCAATTCTCAAATGGAGATGCCGGGGATTGAACCCGGGGCCTCACACATGCGAAAGCGTGCGCTCTACCACTGAGCTACATCCCCAGGACGACGAGGATGGGATTCGAACCCACGCGTGCAGAGCACAATGGATTAGCAGTCCATCGCCTTAACCACTCGGCCACCTCGTCACATGTGCACCAGATTAGGTGTTGATGATTTGAATCTTGACCTAATTTCGATTATACCGAAATCATCTCGTGGAATGTAATCAAAGTTTGAATAGTAACCGACGTGAGCAGAGAAAATTGAACTTTTTTGCTGCTTCGCCAGATCCTGAGATGTCTAATTGTTGGTGATTTCAATTTGATTTGAATTCAGTCTCCGGTCACCGTTGTCGTGGCCGAGTGGTTAAGGCGACAGACTCGAAATCTGTTGGGCGTTGCCCGCGCAGGTTCGAATCCTGCCGACAACGTTATTTGAGATTTCATTTAGCAGGATTAACAACATCGAGCAAAGATTAGATGAAACTTGCCCAAACGATTATCAGATATTTTTATTGGAGCTGCCTGGTTTTGGAATTATTATACCGTTTTGTTTTTGGAGGCACATTGATGGCTTGGAACGGATTGAGACCAATTGCGCCTAGCTCAAACAAATACATTAAATAGCCCAATCTTGTATTCGTTACTGATTACGAGATTAGCTAGATAATTGTTGTTTGTCGTTTACAAAACACTTAATCCATTTCTCATCCCAATCAATGGTCTGCTGTAACGCTCATTCACAATACGTGGCAGCATGCGAACGCTTTATATAGCTGAGATCTCGAATCATTGTCTTGCCTATAACGGTGAATATCGACCTTTGTCTATAATGTAAGTGGCAGTTTATGACTGAAACGCCGTCAATCGATAAATACTTATGACTTAGCCTCGCTAAACGAAAAATAAAATTTCTTATACACTATACGGATAGTAGCAATTACTGTGTTTTTACTGAGCTATAATGATTTCAAATCAAACATAAGAGAATAAGTTATCGGATAGGCATTCTAGCACCACGACGAGGATGGGATTCGAACCAACACGTACAGAGCACAATGGATTAGCAAACTTTTATCAGATTAGTGAACTTTTTGGTTCATTCGCCAGATGCTAAAATGTCTAATTGTTGGTAATTACAATCTGATTTGAATTTCAATTACTTCAGAGTTTTCTCTCGACATATTTCAGCAATGCTAACACGATTTTATTTCGAAAAAATTATCAATTCTCAAATAGAGATGCCGGGGATTGAACCCGGGGCCTCACACATGCAAAGCGTGCGCTCTACCACTGAGCTACATCCCCAGGACGACAAGGATGGGATTCGAACCCACGCGCGCAGAGCACAATGGATTAGCAGTCCATCGCCTTAACCACTCGGCCACCTCGTCACCCGTGCACCAGATTAGGTGTTGATGATTTGAATCTTGACCTAGTTTCGATTATACCTAAATCATTTCGTGTAATGTAATCAAAGTTTGAATAGTAACCGACGTGAGCAAAGAAAACTAAACTTTCACCAGATTAGGTGTTGATGATTTGAATCTTGACCTAGTTTTGATTATACCGAAATCATCTCGTGTAATGTAATCAAAGTTTGAATAGTAACCGACGTGAGCAAAGAAATTTAATTTTTTTTTGCTGCTTTGCCAGAACCTGAGATGTATATTTGTTGGTGATTTCAATTTGATTTGAATTTAGTCTCCGGTCACCGTTGTCGTGAGTGAGTGGTTAGGGCGACAGACTCAAAATCTGTTGGGC